AATGGTTCTGAAATGGCTTCTGCAATGTTCTGAAATGGCTGCAATAATTGCAGGCTTAGGTCACAATATTCAATCTCTTTTAGGTTCGTGGACAGCCCACTCAAGAAGGAAGAATACAAACAAGCCAAGACTGCAAAAATTTTAATAAATACCTAACTCTTCATTGCTCAGATACCAATGAGCCTCCACAAGCACAAGGAACATTCAGGAAAAACATGACCTTACCAGATGAACTAAATAAGGCACCAGTGTAACCAATCCTAGAGTGACGGAAATATGTGACCTTACACACAAGGAATTCAAAGTATTAATTGCTGTTTTGGGGAAGCTCAACAAGTTTCAAGATAACAGAAGGAATTCAGAATCCCATCAGAAATTTGACAGAGACCGAAATAATTTTTTAAAAGTCATGTAGAAATTCTGGAGTTGAAAAATTCAGTTGAAAAACTGACAAATGCATCACTCTCTCAAAAGCAGAACTGAACAACTAGAAGAATCCATGAGCTTGAAGACAGGCTATATGAAAATACTCAGAGGAGAAAAAAAGAATGAAACATGCCTACAAGATCTTTAAAACAGTCTTAAAGGGGCAAATCTAAGAGTTACTGGTCTTAAAGAGGATGTACTAAGAGAGATGATGTAGAAAGTTTATTCAAAGAAATAATAACAGAGAACTTTCCAAACCCACAGAAAGATATGAACATCCAGGTACAAGAAGGTCAAAGAACACCAAGCAGATTCAAACCAAATAAGACTACTTCTGGACATATAATAATCAAAGTCTCAAAGGTCAAGGATAAAGGATCTTAAAAGCAGCAAGAGAAGGGAAGTAAATAATATGTGAAAGAAAAACTGTCCTTCAAACATAGAGGAGAAATTAAAACTTTCACAGAAAAAAAAAAAAAAAAAAAGCTTATGGAATTTGTCAACACCAAACCTGTCTTACAAGAAACGTTAAAGGGAGTTCTTCAATCCAAAAGAAAAGGATGTTCATTAGTAACAAGATATCATCTGAAGATATAAAACTCACTGGCAATAGTAAGTACACAGACAAATACAGAATAGTCTAACTCTGGTTAGACACCCTTAATTCTAATTGTGGTGTATAAACCACTAATATCTTTCATCAGAAGACTAGAAGACAGACTTACCAAAAATGATAAAATACTATAACTTTTGAAGAGACAGACAATATAAAATATATGTAAATAGAGACAACAAATCAAAAAGCAGTGGAGATGAAGTTAAAGTGTGGAGTTTTAAATTCTCTTTGCTTATTTTTCTTTATAATCAGAGTTAAGTTATCGTCAGTTTAAAACAATTGGTTATAGTATTTGCAAGCCTCATGGTAACCACAAAATAAAAACCTATAATAGATACAAAAAAACCTGAAAAGCCAAGAAATTAAAATCTACTACAAGAGAAAGTCACTTTTACACAAAAGAAGACAGAAAGGAAGGGAGGACCAACAATACAATCCCAGAAAAAAAGTAACAAAATGGCAGTAGTGAGTCCTTACCTATTACTAATAACACTAAATGTAACTGGACTAAATTCTCAAATAAAAAAAGAGTAGCTGAATAGAAAAAAAAAGACCTAATCATATGCTGCCTACAAGAAACTCACTTCATCTATAAAGACACCCAAAGACTGAAAATATATGAAATATTTTCAATATTTCCATGCAAACAAAAACCCCAAAAGAGCAAGAGTAGCTATACTTACACCAGATAAAATAGATTTCAAGACAAAAATTGTAAAGAGAGTAAAAAATGTTATTATATAATGATAAAGGGGTCAATCCCACAAGAGGATATAAGAATTGTAAATATATATGTACTCAATGCTGGAACATCCACATATATAAAGCAAATATTAGAACTAAAGATAAAGTTAGATACCAATAAAATAATAGCTGAGAACTTCAACACCCCACTTTCAGAACTGGACAGATAATCTACATAGAGTATCAACAAAGAAACATTAGATTCAATTTGTACTATAGACTATATTGACCTAATAAACATCTACAGAGTATTTCATCCAACAGGTGAAAAATACATGTTCTTCTTCTCAGTATATGAAACAGTCTCAAAGACAGAACATGTATTAGGCCATAAAACAAGTCCCCAAAATTCAAACAAACAGAAATTATATAAAGTATCTTTTCTGACTACAAAGGAATAAAACTAAAATTCAGTAACAAGAGGAACTTGAAAACAACACAAACACAAGGAAATTAAACAATATGCTCCTGAATGACCATTGGGTCAATTAATCAATTTAGAAGGAAATTTAAATATTTGTTAAACAAATAAAAATAGAAACAATGTATCACAACCTACAGATACAGCAAAAGCAGCACTAAAAGTGAAGTTTATAGTAATAGACACCTCCATCAAAAAGTAGAAAAACTTCAAATAAACAACCTAAGGATATTTCTTAAACAACTGGAAAAGCAAGAGAAAACCAAACTTAACATTAGTTTAAGAAATAATAAAGAGCAGAGCAGAAATAAATAAAATTCAGACTAAAAAATACAAAAGATAAACAAAAAAAAGTTGTTTTTTTAAGACAAACAAAATCAACAAACCTTTAGCCAATCTGAAAAAAAAAATACGGAAGACTCAGGTAAATAAAATGAGATGAAGAAGGAGATATTACAACTGAAATCACAAAAATTGAAAATACCATTAGAAACTATTATGAAAAACCAATATGCCAATAAATTAGAAAATCTAGAAGAAATGAATAAATTCCTAGAAACATCCAACCTACCAAGATTTAACCACGAAGAAATACAAAACTTGAACAGACCAATAACAAATAAAGAGATAGAAGCGGCAATAAAAAATCTCCCATCAAAGAAAAGACTGGGACTTGATGGCTTCATTGCTGGATTCTACTGAACATTTAAAGAAGAACTAATACCAATCCTACTCTAACTATTCCAAAAAATTGTGAAAGGAATACTTCCAAACTTATTCAGTATCACCCTGATACCAAAACCAGACAAAGACACAGCAAAATAAGGAAAGCTATACGCCAACATCTCTGATGAACACAGATGCAAAAATCCTCAACAAAATATTAGGAAACTCAATTCAACAACACATTAAAGAGATCATTCTTCATGATCAAGTGCGATTCATCCCAGGGATGCATGGATGGTTCAATACGTGAAAATCAATGAATGTGATATATCAACAGAACAAAAGACAAAAACCATATGATAATTTCAATTGATGCTGAAAAAGTATTTGATAAAATTCAACATCCCTTTGTGATAAAAACTCTAAAGAAACCCTGGGTATAAGAGAAACATATCTCAACACAGTAAAAGTCATGTATGACAAACCCAGAGCTAATATCATACTGAATGGGGAAAAACTGAAAGCCTTTCTGTTAATATCTGGAACAAGACAAGGATACCTACTTTCACCACTGTTATTCAACACAGTGTAAGGAGTCCTAGCCAAAATAGTTAGACAAGAGAAGGAAATAAAGGGCACCCAAATTGGAAAGGAAGAAGTCAAATTATCCTTGTTCGCAGATGACATGATCTTAATATTTAGAAAAACCTAAAGATTCAATCAAAAAAACTATTAGATTGGATAAATTAAGTAAAGTTGCCACATACAAGATCAACAAACAAAAATCAGTATTATTTCTATATGCCAACTGAACAATCTGAAAAAAAAAAACCAAAAAAACAAGAAATTTATAATAGCTACAAATAAAACAAAATACTCAGTAACAAATAACCAAAGAAGTAAAAGAACCCTAAAAGAAAACTATTAAACTTTGATGAAAGAAATTGAAGATGACACAAAACAATGGGAAGATATTCCATGTTAATGAATCGGAAGAATAATATTGTTAAAGTATCCATAGTACCCAAAGCAATCAAATCTATAGATTAAATGCAATCAAAATACCAATGACATTCTTTACAGAAATAGAAAAAAATCCCAAAATTTAAAGGGAACCAAAAAAGACACAGGATAAAGCAATCCTGAGCAAAGAGAACAAAGCTAGAGGCATCACATTAACTGACTTCAAATTACACTACAAACTTACAGTAACCAAAACAGAATGGTACTGGCATAAAAACAGACACATAGATGAATTGAACAGACAGAGAACCCAGAAATAAATCAATGCATTTACAGTCAATGCATTTTCAACCCCTATTTCTCGCCATAAACCAAAGTCAAACCAAAATGGATCAAAGACTAAATCTAAGACCTGAAACTATGAAACTACTCGAAGAAAACGTTGGGGAAACACTCCAGACATTTGTATGGGTAAAGATTTCTTGAGGAGGACTTCAAAAGTACAGGCAACCAAAGCAAAAATGTACATATGGGATCATATCAAGCTAAAAAGCTTCTGGACAGCAAAGGAAACAATAAGTAAATGAAAAAACTCACAGAATGGAAGAAAATATTTGTAAACTACCCACTGGACAAGGGATTAATAACCAGAATTGGAATATGTAAAGAGCTAAAACAACTCAAGAAGAAGAAAAAGGACAAATAATGGGCAAAATATCTGAATAGTCATTTCTCAAAAGAAGATATACAAACGGACAATAGGTATATGAAAAAATGCTCAAATGATTTGTGGGTTCCCCATTCGTGGGTTCAACCAATTGCAGATTGAAAATATTTTTAAAACAATAAAAATAATCAAAATCAGATTATTTAAAGTATATGGGAAGATGTGTATAGGTTATATATAAATACTATGTCATTTTATATAAGGGACTTGAACATCTGTGTATTTAGAGGTCTGACTGTGTATCACAGTTATCTCCTAATAATCTTGGTTTCAGTTTCTTCCCATCCTAACAGATCATACACACAAAAAGATATTGACAGAAGCTTAACAAAAGGAAGGAAAAAAAAAAAACACTCATAGGGAAAATTACAGCATCATCAGCTCCCTCGAAGAAAAATAATTAACAATGAAATAATGAAATTCATTTTTGAAAATACCTAAGTTTTTTTCGGAGTTGTTCGATCATCACACTTTGTTCAGTTACTGTTTTCAGAAACTGTTGATTAGTCTGCCACGAGAAAAATAAAAGTATCAGTATTAGAATATTTAATAACCATATCTTTAAAGATGACACATCAGACATACAAGTAGAAAAGAAATTTAGTGAGATTTATGATAATGATTAGAGTTTTTGAGGGTAAAATGTAACGTTGGCCTTCTTTCCTTGCCTTTACTACTTCACTGGATACCTGCTTCACTTGAAACTACCTACACAGGCATTCCTGTCTTATGGCTTTCTTTGGCTATCTGAATCTCTTTTGCTCATCTATCCAACTGTGCATAAATCTATAAGTGTTACAGAACTAATGTTCCACCCTGTTCTGAGCAGCCTGACATGTCTGAAGGGAACTGGCACATAAAAAACCCAAACTCCCTTCTTGCATGGGTGAAGTAACTCTGAGGCTTGTGTTCTACACTTTCAGAATTCATCAAGTTTTAGTTACTCACAGTGTTAACTTCCTTAATTTTAAAAAGCCTTTTATTGACTGTCTTCTCTTTGGTACCACTTCCCCACCTTCTTACTGGTGCTCCCTGGTATTACTTACTAAATAAATGACATGTTTTGGAACTTTTTCCTGAAGGTCGGCTTCTGGACAAATCCATAGTAAGATATGAAGTAGTCTTCTAAATGTAGAACAACTTTTCTTAAGGGAATTGATTTTCTTCCATAACTGCTGGTTTTAGCCATGATGATACAAATTCCTTATCCCTTTTCTTTATATATTATGGTTTCTCCTGATTGATCTTAATAATTTTGATTTAATCCTGTCCCAACATATCATGCTTACATTTCTCCAACTAAAGTCCCTGAGATAGCTTTCATTGTGCTTCTCTCATGCTCTATTTGAGCTCATTGACTTCATATTTTCTACTATTGTATTTTCCTCTGCCCAGGATGTCCTCATTCTGTCTGCATTCATTCCTCAATACAATGTGTGTTTTACTCATTCTCAGGTAGAATTTACTGTTTCCTTTCTGCATTTTGATAAAACTTAATACGTATCTTTACAATGCACATTATATTTAAATATTAAAGTGTAGGTATTCCTGATTAAAATATGAGCCTTTTTAAAGGATCAGCTTTTCCCAGAACTCCCAGTGCCTGGCATATGATTGAGTACATCAAGGGCACAACTAGTGTTTTATTATATATACTGTCTTGGCACTAGCGTAATTAATGCTTGTGTTTCTGACCATTTGAGAACACCTCAAAGATAGATTACATAGAGCACTTAACAGAAGAATAAGCTAAAATTCTGCATTTTAAGAATCTAGTGCTGGAAACCAAGGTGCTTAACTTGCTAGCAAGCCTAGTCAGAGCTCCACAACTGCAGCTGAATATGGAATAGTTGTTCTATATTTATGACCATAAAGAAAATTATGTACTATATTAATATTTTAGAATTAAGAGACTCAAGGTGTAGGGAAGCATCCTTTTCAACCATCATCTATTTAGCACCTTTTTCACTGATTATTTCATATGTCAGCCTGTTTTACCAAGGAGACACAGATTTTATGGTTGATGCATTTCTGCAACTTAGAGAACCTATACTTTCATGCAAGATAGTTAGTATGCAATTAAATATTTTTGAGTAAATTGTAGAGATGAGCAAATATTAAAAAATATTTCAGTAAAGCAAACCTATGGGAAATGTGAAATTATAATATATCTACAGTATAATAAATAGAAATATGTACTTTTATGTACCATTCATGTCAGAGCATATCTGTTATGTATTACTAATTTGCATTGGTAAAGACAGATATTATTTGTATCAATTTGTAGTAAGAATACTTACATGAGTTATACACTTCTAAAACATGTTTAAGTGTACAATATGTAATTGTTGACTACAGGTACAATATTGCACAGATCTCTAGAGGTTATTCATCTTGTTTGACTGAAACTTCACGTGTGTTGATTAGTAAGTCTCTATTTCTTCTCCCCATAGGCCCTGGTAGTCACCATTCCCATCTCTGTTTCTATAAATCTGTCTACTATAGATACTTCCATATAAGTAAAATCATACAGTGTTTGTCTTTCTGTGACTGGCTTATTTCATTTAATGCTCTCAAAGTTTATTCATGTTATCACATATTGCATAATTTCCTTCTTTTTAAAGGCTAAATAGCATTCCACTGTCGGTTTATATATTTTAATCTACTCCTCTTTGATGGACATTTAGGTTGTTTTCATTTCTTCGCTAATGTGAACATGCTGCAATAAGCACAGGAACGCTAGCATCTCTTCAAGATCTTAATTTCAATACTTTGGGATAAATATTCAGAAAAGGTATTTCTGGATCATATGGTAGTTATATATATATTTTTTTTTTTTGAAGAAACTCTATACTGTGTTCCACGGCAGATACACCGTTTTGCAATCCCACCAAAAATGTTCAAGGTTTCCAATTTTTCCACATCCTCTTCAACACGTGTTGTCTTTTTTGTTTGTTTTGATAATAATCCCTCTGACACGTGTGAGGTGATACCTCATTGTAGTTTTAGTATTTATGTTTCCCTAATGTTTAGTGACATCGAGCATTGGGCATTTCTTCACATACCTGTTGCCTTGGAAAAATATCTACTTAAGTATTTAGTTCATTTAAAAATCAAGTTATTAGGTTTTTTTGTGTGTCTTTTGTTTTTTTTACTATTGAGTTATAGAAATTCTTTAAATACTTTAGAGATTATTCCCTTATTGGATATATGGTCTGCAAATATTTTGTCCCATTCCATTGGCTGCCTTTTCACTCTGCTGATTTCGTTTGCTGTGTAAAAACGTTTTGGTTTGATGTAGTCCCACTTGACTACTTTTTTCTTGCTGTCTGTACTTTTGGTGCCATATCCATGAAATCATTGCCACGACCGATGCCATGGAGCTTTTCCCCTAGGTTTTCTTCTACGAACTTTATAGGTAAAGGTGTTAGATTTAAGTCTTTAATCCATTTTGGGTTGATATTTGTGTGTTGTGTAAGATAAGGGTCCAAAATCATGTTGTGAATATGAATATCTAGACTTCCCAACACTATTTTAAATTCAGTTATTGTGTTCTTTAGATCCATGATTTTTTTGCTACTTTTTAATATTTTTTCTCTGTTGCAATTCTCACTTTGTTCATGCATTGTTCTTTTAACTGTGGTGAGCATCTTCAAGAGAATTATTTTTAATTCCCTATCAGGTAATTCATAACTTCTTTTCATTAGGATTGGTTTCTGGAGATTTATCTTATTTCTTTGTATGGAACATCTTTAGCTGCTTCTTCATTTTTCCTTGACTTTGTGCTTATGTCCATGCATTAGAGAAAGTCGGCACCTCTCCCAGTCTTCATGGATTAGCCTTATACAAGAGAAGACCCCCACCAATCAGCTGGCCAGAGATTCAGCAGGCCTCTACAAACTCTTTCCCTCCCCAGGGAGATGCTGGCAGCTGCTTGCTCTGTGATGAGCTGGGGGGTAGGAAACTATAGCATGTATCAGCCCAATCTGCTATTTCTGTTCTTTCCCATGTGGCTAGACTGTGCTGGACCTATTAGAGCTTCGTGAGACAGATGCTATTTCTCTGGGCTGCCCCAGAGAAGCTGCAGTGCTGGATCAACTTCTGCCCTCCCTGGGGGGAAGCTGAGAACTGAATTTTCATCTACTTACTCTGTGCTGAGAAGAGCACAGGACCAATGCCATCTGTCAGTCCAAATCAATGCCTCCATTCTCCCTTGGTTGGTCAAACTATGCTGGATCTGTGAGCTCCAAGACTGGCAAGATAGAGGCCAGTATTCTGGGGACTACCCTCAGAAAATTTGGGGTGATGAATGCACATACCTAATCCTTTCCCTCCCCTGGGTGAAGCTGGGAGCTAAGGGATCTCTTTTTGATCACATGGCACGGCACTGGGAACAGGGTGTCTAGTAAGAGAGGGTCTCAAATCTCCCTGCTAGCTTTGGTGAGTCTGGTTTTCCAATCCCCTAGGAGGTGAGAACATTTCCATTAGTTTCTGGTTTGTCGCAGAGGAAATTTGTCCATGAATTGTTGCTGAATTCGTGTATCTGTGGGGAGAAGGAGTATCCAGGGTGTCCTACTCTGCCATGTTAGTCAAATTACATTGAAAGATAGTTTATTTACTCACTGTGTACTCATCAATTTATTCTACATCTATAAAAATCTATTCATTTAATGAGTTTATTCATGTAATCACAAAATTTTTTGTTGGAAACTGCTTGATTTTTAAAGGGAACTTTTCTTCAAGTTTGATCTGGACTCAAACTTGCCCCTATAATTATGCTCTGAATGCTCTTTGAGATGTACAAGATCTTATCACTTTGCTTGCCCCCTTTATACTTATCAGTCTTCTTTGCTATTCATTATATACATGAAGAAAAACTTAAATTTTAAAATTTCTTTCAACCACTTACTTTTATCTTAACCACCTATATAGTCTTTTCTATATTTTTATAAAACTCTCTTTTATCCATCATGCCATTTCTTTATCAGTTATCTTGTATCCAGTTTATTCTTAGCTTTGACCTGGAACCAAGACTACTTCTGCCTTAGAAATTTTTAACATATTCCCTTGGAATATATAACATCCTTTTCCCATGACTTTCTTTCATCAAAATCATAATAAAATAGGGGCTCTGCGGTATGACATATCAAAGAATGATATAATTCCTATTCTAGGAGACATATTGAAGAAGTAATGAATAATTATGATGCTAGGTTAAAGCACTAATTCCATGTAGAAATATATTAAATTAAAAAATGCCTTTCTTAATTACAGAAATCGGTAACCATTTTGTTCTGGAGTACTAGTATTTTAAAACTCTAGGAAGCATAATATATTATCAAAAACTGTATGTGATTAGACATTTCAAATGTTAAACAGAATAGGTACAGATTGGTTTAATAATTTTTTACACGGTTAAAAAAGAAAAATGTTTAAAGTAGAATAAAACTGGATACTTACTTTTGATGGCACAAATTCACTGTTATACAAAGACATTTTTATTAGGTACTAACAAGAATTAGCAGAGTAACTAAGCAAGAATGAAGAAGGGAAAGAGAGAGGAATTACCTGAAGTGTCATAATTCTATTACTCAACAATGAGGTAAAAATAACATTCCAAGAAAGTAAACAAAAGTGACAGAATAAGAAGATAAAGAACAGAATTGAGAAGACTAATTCTATTTATTTTAGGAAGAACTTATAGGGAAATTTAGGAGTATCATACCAACACATGGTCCTTAGTTTCCCAGAATTTTTTTAGGAAATGGGCTATTAATTTATTAAACAATTACACTATTCTAATTAAATACTGGAAGTATGTCAGATGAAATAAAAAAAATTAAGCATGTGCTCTACTCTTGAGGAGCTCACTGTCTAGATTAGTCTAAAGAGACCTTACTAAGAATCCTAAGAGGATTTCCAGATTAAGATATATTTCAGAGTGATATTAGATATCTAAAAGGTACTGTAAACTATGTCATGCTATTGAATAAGAAAGCAAAAGCAAAAGAAAAAGGAGTACTGCCTATCTAATTTCATGCAGCATGCTTTCTTATTGTTGATTTATATTAACATAAATAAATATGATTATAGGGAAAATTTCTAGTTTATGCAAGTAAGTATACTTACCATTTCCATGTTCTCATTAGTAACATGAAGTTGCTGGGTCAGTTGTTGAAAATCAAAAAGCTGATCCTACAGTGGGAGGGTAAGAGCAGTATATAAATAGCATTTTGTTGTTTATAACCCATATTTAAAATTAAACTAAAATCAAGTCTAAAATCATTATGCCTAAGTTTAGATAAAATTGGTAGTGTTTCTTCTTACTACTGTGTGAATTAGTAGTTGAAAAACTAATAAATTTTTTAAATGATTACAAAATTAAAGTGGCAATGCTGAAATAAATGTAGCTGTTTATGTCAAATAATTATTTCTAGAAATCAATTGTTAAATATTATTTTAAAACTCGAAGAAATAGATCATAAAAAATTATAAGTGATTAGAAATTCCAAATGCTAGAGAGACCTTGTCCAATACTGGAATGTCACTTTCAAATCTACTCAAAACCTATAATACAAACCATGGCACAGGAGTCACTGCCCATCCTTTTTAAAAAAATTCTCATGCCCCACATTTTAAAAATTGTTTGATTAGCTGTTATGATTCTATTAAACATTATTTGTACAGATGACAAAAAGTTGGGAGAGGCTGTAAATATACTGAATGACAGAATTAAATAGATAACCAGGGAAAAAAGAATGAAGTGTTATTTGTAAAGTCTCGTATAAGGACCCATCAAACTATATAGCTATAGTAAAAGAATGATATTATTCAGGTGAAAACAAAACAAAAACCCAACCTTGTGGGCTTAGTTGACTGACCTATATGAGGAAACAGCAATCAAAGAACTTAATATGAAAAAATGGTTTTTAAATCTCAGAGGTAAAAGTCCAACAAATCAGATTGATTACACATGAACTTTTTTTCAAGCCAGCGCATGTGTAGAAAAATCATTTTGTAAACTGTAAAGCATCATGCAAGTATTTTTACAATTTCTTTAGGTAGACATTTCTAATTATAATTATAATAATAGGAATATTCAGAAACCAGAATTTGAAAAGTCTGTAAATGAGAGCTGAAGAGAGGTATGAAAACCAAATTATTTAAAGAGTTGCCTCTCAAAATATATAGAAAAGAGGTCAGAATTAGAATTCCTCCACAGTGCTCAATGCACCTAGCAATAAAAGAACCAACAGAAGAATAAGAGAGGTAGATTTCCCAATGGAATGGATGGTCTTGTGAGATAATGAGTTCTTGTCAATAGACATGTAAAGCAAAAGCTAAAGCTACATGTCCACTTTGAAAGAGTATAGAATGATTCTTGCTTTGGATAGAAAAAAGTCTTTTAATAACAATTAAGATCGCTTCCTATTGTAAAATTATATTCTGATTAATTTATGGTAGATAAAGTTGACACCTATTTTAGTAACAGGTCACATTTAAGGGTATTAACATTTTGATTTTACATAGTGTTCTCACTATATTTGAGCAGGTTTCTTCACTGGCCATAAACTAATGAACAATTTTGTTTTGTTTTGTTTTAAAAGTCAGGTAGGAAATGAAGCAAAGAAAAACTTTGAAGGTTTATTTATGCAAAATAATGTTAAAGCTGCTTTTTAGCACTAAATTGAGCTTTCATTGATGACAACATTATAGAACCAAATGATCACTGTCCAGTTCTCTAATTATCTTACCTTTCAAGAGCGTAACCATCAAAGATCAATATATTATTAACATAAATAATAAAGTGATTAGAAATTCTAAATGCTATAGGGTAGAGTCTTAGGTGTTCCCCTCTAAAACAGTTTCTTCAGAGTGCAATTTCTTACCGATATATAAGAAAACAATGAAATCCAAGATTACCTTTTGTTTTTGACTTTCAAATACATGAATTTGGGCCTCGGTCATATGTTCCTGGTAAAGCTTGTGTAGTCTGTCCAACTCCTGAGAAACAGTCTGCCAGAGTTCCACAGCCTGAGTTTTTTCCTATTAAAAAAAAATTGGATAACTCATCAAATTATCAGCAGGCTATTTATTGTATAGTACAAATGAATCCTTTTCTTTGATAGAATAAATTCTTTATAAAGTCATAAAATAAAACAACTGTGTAAAGATGGTATTATAGTTATAATATTTTTGATGTGAAGTTTTATTAATAATTTATTAGAAAGTAAAACTGAAGACATAAAGTTCCTTATTTTGAAATTGTGTTTTTACTCAGATTTAGCTAAAATTAAAATCCTTAACAGAGATGTAGACTTAAACCACGTTCTTTGTTCCACAAGAAAGGATAAGCCCTAGAAACTGATGAAGAAGAAAACTGCCCCCTGGTAAAGCACAATATTTTTTCCCTGATCATAAAAGTAATAAATTTTCATTGTGGAAAATTAGGAAAATACAGAGAAAAACAGGAGAAAATCAGAATCAGCTATAATTTTACCACCTGATGATAAACACTGCTAACATCTAGATATAGTCATCTTTCCAAATGCTGATGCATTCATGTTTATAAATGTGATGCTGGGAGAGAATTTTGTAATTATTTTAACAAAATTAGGGACCATATAGCGGGCTATTTTTACTTGCCATTTTATAATGAGAATTTTCTCAGGTCACTAACTATTGTTTGCACATAGTATTATCTAAGTGTGGTACAGAAACTCAGACTTTGAAAGGTCCTTGAAGTCAAATTTATCTTCAGAATAATATGTTAACATTATTTGCCTTTTTACTCTCATCCTCTCACAAATGTACAGTGGAGTTTTCTAGAGTTTATATGATGTGATGTCACCCTTGTTCTAAGGGCTAATGGACTGTGTGCTTATGCTCCTACTTTTTGTTTTAAGTTTCAGTTTTAATTTGTAATACAATAAATACTGATAGATATGTAACCCACAAAAACATAAGGCACCTTGGAGAACACTGAGGTATACCATACATTCAGAAAATGAACAAATTGTACATTTTTACAAAGTAAGAGCGCTCATGTAACCAGCACCCAGTTCAAGAGAGAGAACATTATTACCATCACCTAGAAGCCAGATGCCCCTCTTGTGATCTCTTCCAGTTACTATACTCTTCTCCTAAATAACTATTTCCTCGTGTTCCTAACACAATAGATTAGTTTTGTCTAAAACTTAAAAAAAAAAAACAAACTGTAGGCAAATTAAAAATTTTAAAAGTGGTTTTAAAATTTGTAGATAAACACAGAATCTGGAGCCAGAAGATATGGGTGTGATCTCTAATTCCTGGCCAAATGGTCCTGGATAATTCACTTCATTTTCTTAAGACTCAAGTTTTCTTTTCAGTAAAATGGTTGTAAAAATGCCTCATACCTCAAAATGTCCCACTGTTTCTCCAGACCTGTCTGATGACAAAAATCACCTAGACTAGTAGTTATACAACCCAGATTCTCCTAGAGCAGTGGTTCTTAAAGGACCAGCATCATCAGCAACACCTCAGAACTGTTAGAGATGTAAACTATTGAGCTCTATCTCAGACTTCTCGAATCAGAAACTGGGGTGGTGGCGGGATGGGGAGGCAGAGCAGAAATCCACGTTTCAAAAAGCCCTCAAGTGATTATGATGTACACTACATAATTTTTAAAAATGGTACGCTTATTATTTGGACACACTACAATTTAACTGATTCCATATTTAAGATTTTTAAACTATGTCAAATGTTTCATTACAATAAATATTAAAATGAACACATTTATTCAAAAATTTTTATATTCAGCTCTTTAGAACAAATTCATAAAATCTATGTGGTGTCATCATCATCTAATTACTGCATCAAATAGTGCAAATATTTCTAAGGCTCTTCTTGCCAAACTGACTTTGAGAAAGATTTTTACAAATCATACTGTAACAGAAAAAATATTTTAAACTAAAAATATTAAGCTAGGTATTTAGTACTGTGCTATTGCTATTGGCTCCTAAAGCAATATATTTATACCACATGGCACCTTTTGCACATAATTTTAATTCTTATTTGTGAGTCTTGCTGTTCAGTAATGATAATAACGATATTGATAAATAAGCAAATTTATTAACTTACATATGTGCTAGACATATAAGCCTAAATTAATTTCTATTTACTCCTATGAAATCAACTATAAATCTTTCCTAGTCTAGAACAAACAGCATGTTTTCATTATTTCTTTCTTTTATCACATTTAAAAATTGTTTCCATTCATACATTAAAAAAAAATTAGTGTTAAATACATGTTCCTTATCAAGCTAAAGATAGCCTTCTGACTTACCTAAAGTATCACTTTCATAATTGTAGAATTTTAAAACCAAATTTTCAGGAAATAAAACTGAATTTTCAGAAAATTATCAAATCAAAATTGTAATTTAGAATTTGTAGCCCCCATTTATAAACGAGGAAACTGAGGCACAAGAGTTTTTTCTATGATCACACAGCTGGAAAGCAGAAGAATGGGGATTTAAACCCATACAAGATATGAAACTTTTGGGATATAACATTGTAAATTAAAATAAAATTCCCTTATGAATAAAATTTACAAAAAATTACAGTTGAAAACAGGATATATTTAACATAGTTGCTCAAATGACCAGTGATGATGAGCTTTTTTTCATATGTTTGCTGAAAAAATGCTCATCATCACTAGCCATCAGAGAAATGCAAATCAAAACCACAATGAGATACCATCTCACTCCAGTTAGAATGGCAATCATTAAAAAGTCAGGAAACGACAGATGCTGGAGAGGATGTGGAGAAATAGGAACACTTTTACACTGTTGGTGGGACTGTAAACTAGTCCAACCATTGTGGAAGACAGTGTGGCAATTCTTCAAGGATCTAGAACTAGAAATACCATTTGATCCAGCAATCTCATTACTGGGTATATACCCAAAGGATTATAAATCATTCTCTTATAAAGACACATGCACATGTATGTTTATTGCAGCACTATTCACAACAGCAAAGACTTGGAACCAACCCATATATCCATCACTGATAGACTGGATAAAGAAAATGTGGCACATATACACCATGGAATACTATGCAGCCATAAAAAGTTTTGTGTTTGTGTCCTTTGTAGGGACATGGATACAGCTGGAAACCATCATTCTCAGTAAACTAACACAGGAACAGAAAACCAAACACTGTATGTTCTCACTCATAACTGGGAGTTAAACAATGAGTACACAAGGACACAGGGAGGGGAACATCACACACCAGGGCCTATCGTGGAGTGGGGAGCTGGGGAGGGATAGCATTAGGAGAAATACCTAATGTAGATGATGGGTTGATGGGTGCAGCAAACCACCAAGTCACGTGACACCTATATAACAAACCTACACGTTCTGCACATGTATCCTAGAACTTAAAGTATAATTTAAAAAAAAAAAAAAAAAGAAAGAAAAAAATATTCCCATAAGAAAAAAAATCATGTTAAAAGCTTTATGATTTAATTAAACACATTTTTAACAACCAGTGAGGGTATTTGGCAAGTGTATTTATAACAGTGAGAGTATTTATTACAAGTTTTGCTACCTGTAACGATTCTTGTAAACTGTAGAAAATCATCATGTTACAATTTTATGATTTTGTTATCCAAAAATAATGATTAACATGAATTTTTGAAAGGTATGTTAATTCAGAATATAATTTTTAAAAATACATGTCACTCACTTCATTGGCTAGCTGCAATTGTTCTTGAAGGTTTCTGACTGTTTCATCATTTGCATATGTATCAGTTCCTATCTCTGTGCCAAGGGGAAAGGCCTCCAATTTTTTTTCAACAGCATCTTTTAATTCACTGTGCAACCTTTGAAACAAACAGGTAACATGATAGTCTCAAGTCATTTTAGTAACAGTAATTACTGTTTTGAGGTCAATTAAATAAACATTTGGGTCAACAACAACTCTTTACACAAAACCATTTTTAAGTAGACTTCAAATAAAAAATTAGAAGTGTTTAATTACCATTAAATACTGTGCTATGAGAATAAAAAGATTATGTAACAATTTCAAATGCATTAAATCAATCACAATTAATTGAAGCATGATTCACTTTGTCCTAGAGAGGATTTAATTTTTCAAAATTTTTCAAAAAATTTTCAAAAGAGTAAAATTCAGATATTATCCCTTATTAAATAATAAATCAAGCCATTCAGAAAAATTCTAAAATATCTACGTATATCCAGTCAATTAAATGACAATTACATATTATATCTTGTAAAGTTATTTGCTATTTTCTTCAGTGTGTTTCACAAAACTCACTGGACTTCTTACTAATTCCAGTTAACAAGCAAAGAGAAGAAAATGGTCGCTGGCTATAAAACCAAGACATCAGAAACTTTATTTTTCAGTACATCCTTATATAAGCTCAACAATAACACTGAAAGGCTTAAATTCGACTTTAATCTTAACATTAAGGTAAATTGCAGATATTTCATGCTTTAAAACAACTACAAAATAAAAAAAAAAGCAAGGAAGGTACAACTTAAAGGAATGATTGTTTTAATTTAAAATAATACTTAAGAGAAAAAAGTTACATTTTCAGAAAACATTCTTATTTAACTATAAGCAGAAAATATAGTAAATACATTTCAAAGTGAAAATAACAAAATAAACTACATCCATCTACCTAAAACATTTAGAGGTAAATGAATGATTTGCTAATATTACAAATCTCCTTTGAAAGAAGAAAACTTAAATCTTAATGTCAGAACACATTTATTGTAAACAAAGTTCATCAAACACAATAAAAGTGAGGAGGTAAACACTTTAGAAACAAAAAAATTAATTACTCTCTAAAGAAAGGACAGTGCTTGAAAATTATTCTTTAATTAAAAAACTTACAAGTATTGGTTAAGACAGAAGTTTTTATTTTTAAATATCTAACGGTATTTTTAAAAATATTTATTTTTCCTATATGAAATGTTTACCTAATAGAGAAAATGATCAATATAGAAATATAACAAGTCTTAGGAAAGACACCCCAAGTCCTATGAAGAAAACTATTATTAATTCTGTAATACATTTTCTAGCAGAATTTTTACTTTCCATTAAAAATAGACCAAAGAAGAGCAAACACATTCAAAAGCTAGTAGAAGGCAAGAAATGACTAAGATCAGAGCAGAACTGAAGGAGATAGAGACACAAAAAATCTTTCAAAAAATCAATGAATCCAGGAGCTGGTTTTTTGATAAGATCAACAAAATTGATACACTGCTAGTAAGACTAATAAGGAAGAAAACAGAGAAGAATCAAATAGACGCAATAAAAAATGATAAAGGGGATATCACCACCGAACCCACAGAAATACAAACTACCATCAGAGAATACTATAAACACCTCTATGCAAATAAACTAGAAAACCTAGAAGAAATGGATAAATTCCTGGACACATACACTCTCCCAAGACTAAACCAGGAAGAAGTTGAATCCCTGAATAGACCAATAGCAGGCTCTGAAATTGAGGCAATAATTAATAGTCTACCAACCAAAAAAAGTACAGGACCAGACAGATACACAGTCAAATGCTACCAGAGGTAGAAAGAGGAGCTGGTACCATTCCTTCTGAAGCTATTCCAATCAACAGAAAAAGAGGGAATCCTACCTAACTCATTTTATGAGGCTAACATCATCCTGATACCAAAGCCTGGCAGAGACACAACAAAAAACCAGAATTTTAGACCAATAACCCTGATGAACATCGATGCAAAAATTCTCAATAAATTACTGGCAAACTGAATCCAGCAGCACATCAAAAAGCTTATCCACCATGATCAAGTGGGCTACATCCCTGGGATGCAAGGCTGGTTCAACATATGCAAATCAATAAACATAATCCAGTATATAAACAGAACCAAAGAAAAAAAACACAAGATTATCTCAATAGATGCAGAAAAGGCTTTTGACAAAATTCAACAGCCCTTCATGCTAAAGCAACTCAATAAATTGGGTATTGATGGAATGTTTCTCAAAATAATAAGAGCTATTTATGACAAATCCACAGCCATTATCATACTGAATGGGCAAAAGCTGGAAGCATTCCCCTTAAAAACTGGCACAAGACAGGGATGCCCTCTCTCACCACTCTATTCAACATAGTGTTGGAAGTTCTGGCTAGGGCAATCAGGCAAGAGAAAGAAATAATGGGTATTCAATTAGGAAAAGAAGAAGTCAAATTGTCCCTGTTTGCAGACGACATGATTGTATATTTAGAAAACCCATCGTCTCAGCCCAAAATCTCCTTAAGCTGATAAGCAACTGCAGCAAAGTCTCAGGATACAAAATCAATGTGCAAAAATCACAAGCATTCTTATACACCAGTAACAGACAGAAGGCAAATCATGAATAGCTTCAAAGAGAATAAAATACCTAGGAATCCAAATTACAAGGGTAGCAAGGACCTCTTCAAAGAGGAGAACTACAAACCACTGCTCAGTGAAATAAAGCGCAAATGAAATACCTGATGTAAATGGCCAGGTTGCCGAGGTGCTGAGTTGATGGAGTGCAACACACCAACATGGCACAGTATACATATGTAACAAACCTGTACATTATGCACATGTACCCTAGAACTTAAAGTATAAAAAAAAAAAAAAAAGAAATAAAAAGAGGACACAAACAAAGGAAGAACATACCATGCTCATGGATAGGAAGAATCAATATTGTGAAAATGGCCACTTGCCCAAGGTAATTTATAGATTCAATGTCATCCTCATTAAGCTACCAATGACTTTCTTCACAGAATTGGAAAAAACTGCTTTAAAGTTCATATGGAACCAAAAAAGAGTCCACATTGCCAAGACAATCCTAAGTCAAAAGAACAAAGCTGGAGGCATCATGTTACCTGACTTCAAACTATACTACAAGGCTACAGTAACCAAAAAAGAAAGCAGGGTACTGGTACCAAAACAGAGATATAGACCAATGGAACAGAACAGAGCCCTCAGAAATAATCACCACACACTCTACACCCATCTGATCTTTGACAAACCTGACAAAAACAAGAAATGGGAAAAGGATTCCCCATTTAATAAATGGTGCTGGGAAAATTGGCTAGCCATAAGTAGAAGCTGAAACTGGATCCCTTCTTTACTCCTTATACTAAAATTAATTCAAGATGGATTAGAGACTTAAATGGTAGACCTCATACCATAAAAACCCTAGAAGAAAACCTAGGCAATACCATTCAGGACAAAGGCATGGGCAAGGACTTCATAACTAAAACACCAAAAGCAATGGCAACAAAAGCCAAAATTGACAAATGGGATCTAATTGAACTAAAGAGCTTCTGCACAGCAAAGAAACTACCATCCAGAGTGTTTCAGCAACCTACAGAATGGGAGAAAATTTGCAATCTACTCATCAGACAAAGGGCTAATATCCAGAACCTACAAAGAACTCAAACAAATTTACAAGATAAAAACAAACAACCCCATCCAAAGTGGGCAAAGATGTGAACAGACACTTCTCAAAAGAAGACATTTATGCAGCCAACAGACACGAAAAAATGCTCATCACCACTAGCCATCAGAGAAATGCAAATCAAAACCACAATGAGATGCCATCTCCTCTCAGTTAGAATGGCGATCATTCAAAAAGTCAGAAACAACAGGTGCTGGAGAGGATGTGGAGAAATAGGAACACTTTTACACTGTTGGTGGGACTGTAAACTAGTCAACCATTGTGGAAGACAGTGTGGCGACTCCCTCAAAAAGAGATCCTTTACCAAAGACAAATGGTAAAAATACCATTTGACCCAGCCATCCTATTATTGAGTATATACCCAAAGGATTATAAGTCATGCTGCTATAAAGACACACATGCACCGCGTATGTTTATTGCGGCACACTATTCACAATAGCAAAGACTTGGAATCGGCAAATGTCCATCAATAACAGACTGGATTAAGAAAATGTGGCACATATACACCATGGAATGTTATGCAGCCATAAAAAAGGATGAGTTTGTGTCCTTTGTAAGGACATGGATGCAGCTGGAAACCATCATTCTCAGCAAACTATCGCAAGAACAGAAAACCAAACACCACATGTTCTCACTCATAGTTGGGAATTGAACAATGAGAACACTTGGACACAGGGAGGAGCCGTCACACGGAGCCTGTTGTGGGGTAGGGGCGGGAGGGATAGCGGTGGGAGATATACCTAATGTAAAATGACAGAGTTAATGGGTACAGCACACCAACATGGCATATGCCTATGTAATGAAGCACACGTTGTGCAAATGTACCCCAGAACATAAGTATATATCAAAAAAAAACAAATAATAAATTTTAAAAAAGGAAAAACAGACCAATGACACACTGCATTGCTAAAGCTATAATCTATCTTTTTAACTGTAGTATTGAGACATATGCATTCTCTCATATTCTAAAAAGTTTTATGCAAATATTTTAAAGATGATATAATATTCCATCATTTTCATCATATTTTTATCTGCATCATAACCTATCAATTATGCTAATCCTTTAAATTGATTGTAAAATGAAATGAAAAAATAGTAAAATTAGTATTTAGTACACTGTACTTTAAAATATCAGAAACACTGAGAATTAAAGCGTCGTATTTCTTTGTTAAAAATGTAGTTAAAACAAGCAGTATAATTATAACTGACAGTAAGACTGTTTTTAGGGTCTTAGCAAAATTTTTAGCTGGGTGCGGTGGCTCACGCCTGTAATCCCAGCACTTTGGGAGGCCAAGGTGGGTGTATCACGAGGTCAGGAGTTCTAGGCCAGCCTGGCCAATGTAAAGGTGAAATCCGTCTCTACTAAAAATACAAAAATTAGGCGGC